CCCCAAAACCCCAAAACCCCAAAACCCCAAAACCCCAAAACCCCAACAATCAGAATTTGCTAAATCAGAAGGAATGAAAGTTTAAACTAGCAAATAGATATCAACTAACTTAAATAAATGATAAATATTATTAAAATGAGTTCGTTAAAATAATTAATTGATAAATTACATGAAGGCTTGGTGGTTAATCCAAATATCTCTGCTGTTCTACCTGAATAAGCAAGTTCTATGCGATCTTGATCCAGTACCAAAAGTTGTGAGAGCAATTTTAAAAGCTGGAAACTATAACAAGAATGAGCTGCCATTTACCAATAAGGTTAATGGTAAATAGTTTGATTTAAAATGTATTTAGATGTAAGATATACTCTCGAGATGGATGCAATTGGAACCATTGATGATTATAATTAAGAAGTAATTTCCTAACACTCATGACTTTCCTACATAGATTACGATCCTATTCATAGAGATTTTGAGATGGTATGATCCCAGATTGAATTACTCAAAGTATTCAAACTTGACTGAAATTTCAAATTATCATAAAGATCATTGGATCGATTTACAAACGTCAAATGATCTGATTTGGAAGCCAGAGCACTCATACTTTAACTAAATCAATGTTGAAGTAGAGTCTGAATAGTTCTATCTATATTACACTGGATTGTAAGTACAAATTCTTCCTTGAAAAGCAAAGGAACTATTTTCATTCATATTTTTTTGCCTTATGATTGCTTTATCATTTTCATAGGATTGATTGGGTGAGAAAGATTACACTTACTTATAAATGCACATTTGATTTTACATTGTTCCCAAATGATTTTCAAGTGTGCAACGTTTAACCTTTTATGGATAAGTTTAACAACACTCAAGTTAATTTTAGGCCATATCAAGTTGACAACCCACTATAAGTTAATCACTTTAACCCATTAGTGACTACAAGCACAATGCCTACTAACTACTTCAGCTTTGATATTAAACGTAAGTTTAGACTTCTTCAATAAATTTTTAGTTGAATTCAATGGGAGTTTAGAACTAAGAAATGAATTAGATCACTCTGTTAATGCTGCACTTACTTACTCTTTGGTTATGAAAAGAAATCCATACTTCTATATGGTCTATTATATTGTCCCGTCAGTGATCTTGGTGATCATCTCTTATTGTAGTTTCTGGATCAATAAGGATTCTGTAACAGCTAGGTGTTTCCTCGCTATACAGACTGTCCTGATTACTATTAACTTTTAGAATGACATTTATGCTATGCTACCCCCAATAGATTACCCTGCATGGCTAGAATCTTATTTTACAGGTGTCTTAATCTTTAATTGCTTCGCAATGGTTGAGTATGCAGTTGTCAATTTCTGCACATCTAACTATAAGGTTCTTTAGCAATAGATTGACAATGCTGTGAACAATATCAGTGCTAATCTTTCAAAATTTAAAAAGAAGCTTATTAAGAATCTTGAAAGTAAGAGATTAAGAGAAAGTATTATTAGCTAATAAAACAGGAATTCAGTTATTAGTCCATCAAACAGAGTTCAAACTGCAGAACTAAAAACTGAATAAGTAGAGCCTTTAAACACAGAAAATGGTCTTTTGCATTAGCAAACAACTATTCCAGAAAAAAGCCCCTTAAGTTTCTTCTAAATGAAATCAAAAGATGCACTTGGAGGTCAATTAAACAAGAACAACCATAATGCTACTAGTAGCAATGCTGGCCTAATGGCTAATACAAAGTCTAAGATACTAGCAAATACACCAGCATTTCAAAAGAATGATCCAGATGAGCTATTAGATGGTGAGAATATTGATAATCTAATTGATCAAGAGTTTAACATCGAAGATGAAAATAGGGATCCCTCTAGAAGAAATTCCGATGATTTCATTTAAAAGAGAGGATCTAAAAAAATATTTGGCAATCAAATTGAAAATTTTGAACATGAGCCAGCTACTGATAAAAAAATGTTGTCTCCTGAAAATAATTAATAAGAAGAATAACCACCACTATAAGTTAAATTGACTAATAGACAAATGGAAGCTGATGAAGAAGAAAAGGAGTAAGAGTTGTATTACTTCCATTTATCATAACATATTGAGGAATTAGAGAGAGCATCTCTATAGGGTAATTCGAACCTTGCAAAATTCCTCCTTGCTTTTAACAACTTCAAGCTCTTCGCTGTGAAGCACTGGTCTAAAATAGATATAGATCTTGATCAGAAGACTAGAAAGCAAATCCTTGATGTTTTTACTATTGAAAATTCGATTGCCTTCCAAATTTACAAGTTTATTTCAGAGTCAATGGATAACTTCTTTAGATTTGGATATATTGCAAGTTTCATCTTATACTTAAGCATCAGACTCTCAGTGTTGTTTGACCTTGAATGGTTACTTGGTGCATCTATTGCTGTGTTTTGCCTTAGCTTCTTCATTTACATAATCCTAATTATCAACTCAACTATGTACGAAAACGAGTGGTCTTTTAAATACACTTTCTATCATTTCGTTAAATTCAGATGCATTTTCCCGTAGAGAAAATAAAACTTTATCAAGAAAGAGGATTAAAAGGAAATCGATCAGAAAAATAAGAAAAATAAAAAGTAATGAACATAAAATAGTCTGACATATTGAAAGCTCCGAGCTATTCTGATATTCCTAGTAAATAGATGCATTAATACCTAATAGAGCTTAATATTCTTGCTTATTAAATTTCATTATAAGTTATTTTAAATTTTAAACAAGATTTTTATGTTTTATTCAAGTGGGGTTTTGGGGTTTTGGGG